TTAGACTAGATGTAGAGGGCAATAATCAAAGCAAGGACGGATGGTAGAGCAATAATTATTTATTATAATTTTTCATATAGACAAAAACAATTTACTCACTACAAAGATGCAACTTCGTTTCGGTGCATTTAGTTGCACCTCGACTGGTGAGAAGCAAAATGGTTATGAACAATTTTGTTTGTAAGCAGGTCGCATGTGGAGCATCACTTCCTTTTTTTCTATGTTTGAAAAAAAATAGGCACATTTTAAGAGGAGATGTATAAGGATAAAGAAAAAATAGGAGAGACAAAAGGGTGACACAGTGAAACAATAGTGTTTGTTGATATCAGTTTGGTGAAGGATTGCTGAGGTGTTAAAGTGATGGCTCGACCCGATTTTTTTTTTAATCGACAATGGTCAAGGGTTTAGACACAAAAAAAAACAAGTACCTATTTTTTAAAACAAATAGAAAAAAAGAAAGTGATATTCCACGAATTTATCATTGCATAGCAATCTTCTATGCAAACAAAAAAAAATATCATTATTGCAATGTCCGCATAACCATTCTAAAACAAAAAAATTACCATCTTTGTTATATAATCTATTATTTAATTTATTGTAATATACTTGTAATCTCTGAAAATGGCTTATGTAAGTCGAAAGGTTAGACAGGATTAACAATAGAAATATGTATCAACATGGTGATTTTCATCGTGTTTCAGTGATAATTCTAAAAAGCTTATTCGACAATATGAAAGGAATTTACTTAAAATAAATAGACAAAACTTGTCTATATTATTTAATGAAACATGCATTAATGAAAAAATGCTGCCTAAAAATATATATATATATATATATATATATATATATATATATATATATATATATATATATGAATACAAAATTTACTCTTGGCCGGGGGTAATCTCAGGCTAAACATGGAAATATAAGTAGAGTGCTCAATACAGAATTCTGAATATAGCATATGTAAAGCAGTTTAAAATTATTAAATGTGAAAATGTATACCCTTAATTATTACCTGGGTTTCTACCGTTAGGTATCATCAGATGGTGGAGTAAATCTAGTTTTCTACAGGCTCACAATTCCTTTTTAACTGTAACATTTACTGAAGGGGAGTAGGTATGTAAATTATATATTTTTTTTATTTTCATCCGGGTTCGTAAATGCCATGGCTGTATTTATTTATATGCCTACACTTTGACACTATTTCTGATCGTTCGTTTAGTATTTGTTTTCTGTCCGGATGTGTTACAATAGTCAGCTTTTCCTCTTGCCAAAATCTACAACTGCTCCCTCTAGTTCGTCCTGATTTCACTTTTTTCAATATACACTATATGTATATAAGGTCTTCCGTATATATATATATATATATATATATATATATATATATATATATATATATATATATAAAGAAAGAACAGTAAGATATATAATTCAGTGTTCTTATAGATATTTTTATTTTTACAAAATACTGCTCAATGTAAATTTACAAAACATTAATATTATAAATTAATTAATTTAAAATATGTTTTTTACACAGTTCTAACCATGTTTCAAAAAATCCATGATTGAAACATGGTTAGAACTGTGTAGCGAAAAAAAACATATTTTAAATCAATTAATTTATAATATATATATATATATATATATATATATATATATATATATATATATATATATCCATTACATTTTGGAAAATGTATACATTATGTGTAAATAGCAGGACAGACTTTATGTCTTTAATTTATTCAATCAGGCATGCCTAAAAGAGAAATTGCTGCCTAAATACACAAATTATATATATATATATATATATATATATATATATGAAAGGTGTTCCGTATGTTTAGAGCTGCGTGCACATAAGGGACTAATTGAGCAAATGGTTAGACAGGTGTGCAAGTATCGTCAAGTTGTCTAACTGCTAACATGAACATATACGATTTAACATGTACCTTGTTTGAATGACTCACCTGTGCTCCTCATGCAATCATTTATGAGTCCAAACAATGTCTTTAATGCAGCGATAAACAAAAAAGTATAAAAATAAACTCGATTAACAGGTCAAAAGTCGGAGATAAAAAAAAAAAAGCAAAGCAAGAAAACGTTGCTAAAAAAATCATGATAGTTTAATGAGATGCCGAATAAAATAGTTAGTTTTGACCCCCCCCACACACACACACACGCGCATAATTTAGATCACCATTTAAAAGAGCCTTCGCCCCTAACATCACTCCACCACACTAATTAAAAGATGGTTTTTCAACCTGGTACCACTATTCACAAGTAGGATTCAGGACCATTCACCACCTACCATCCCCACAACCCATCCCAAGGTAACGACTTCGGTTTTGCTTGGACCCTTCACACCACATCCCCTCCTATCCCAGCCACAATCAATCGTATTTGGCCATTGAATTTGAGATGTATTTCAGAGTCGGCTGTAATACTTACTAATACCGATTATATATATATATATTAAGACATTTTTATACATTCTTTTTATAGATACAACTATTTAAGCAAATGCTCTGTTTATAATAAACAACATTTACCGGCCCAAATGTCCGTGAAATTTTCATAGAAAATATTCGTCCTCCGACAGGAATCGAACCTCTATCCTATACGGAACTGTCATATAGCTTGACATGCCTTTAACCGATTTGGCCACAGAGGAGCGTTCGGTTAGCAACGTCGATTTTACTGTCTTTAAACTACAATCTTCCATGATTCTCTCACGTACATTCATGGCGTATCCAAATGTAAACAAATGACGTCACACATTATGAAATAGACTAAATTTGTTATGCTGGTGCATTCAAAAGACCGGGGAAACGATGGGCGAACCTATCTTCTCCTACTGAAGCAAAAAAAAAATGAATATAGTTTAAGTGGAGGTATTAGAACAATAGTGTTTAAGTATACTTTGGAAAGAACAAGAAATCCAATTCTAAATGGAAAACAAGGGATAAATCTTTTCAAAAGACCGGAGAGGGGTGTGAAACGGACGGTAGGCGAACCTATGTACTCCTATTGAAGAAAGAACATGTGTAAGTAGAAATGTTAGAACTATAGAGTTTACGCATATTTTGGAAGGAGCGAGAAACCTAATTCTAATCATGAAATAAGGGATAAACCTCTAATCCTGTTCAAAAGACCGGGGAGGTGTGTGAACCGGGCGATAGACGAAGCTATTTGCACCTATTCATGAGAGAAAATAAACATAGTTTCAGTGGAGTTGTTAGACCTATAGAGCTGAAGTATATTTTGGAAGGAACGAGAAAGCCAAAAAACAAGGAATAAATCCCTACATGGAATAGGAAATTGTGGAAAGACATGATCGAACATATCCTAAAATAACACGTCAATCAAAATAAAAAAGAATACAGAACAGAGTTTCCGCATAGAAACCTCGAAGACGAAAGTAATTACATTCCCCCATTGTCGTTCTGACTCCGAACTAACAAAAAATCAGGATGAACGGAGGTCTTCTCGGGGAAGCACCGTGCTTTGAAAGACTGTTGTGCCTCAAACCCGACCTCAAACGGAACTCGTACATACGATCGATTGCTAAGGATGCGGGTAAAATGGTCGGCTCTCTGTACCGCCCCAAGAGGTACTTGATTCCTGTTATGCTCTACCTTTACAAGAGCCAGATTAGGCCAAAAATGGAGTACTGTTGTCATATTTAGACGGGAGCTGCTCAAACCTCACTCTCCAATTCAAAAGCGTCTCTGAGCCCTTGTGGGTAACGAATTATTCGTCAACCGCTTTCCCACTGGTGAGATGTGGAAAGCCTCTAGCTGCTCTACCGCTACGCACACGGAAAGTGCTCGGACGAACGCAATTCCATGATATCGCTGAGGCAAACTATCACGCCATGACACTTACATATTATCAAACCACCCACATTCCTTCCGTATTCCATCAGTAAGAAGTTAGTTCTACTTGAGAAGGTTCGCAAACAACTGCCCTATGGAAACGACTCCCAACGGGATGTTTCCCCGATCACTGCAATCTAAACCTGTTCAAGTCTAGAGTTAACCGTTATCTTCCTTCTCTTATTCACGCAAATGTCTTCCAAAAGTAAACCTCTATCTCTAATGACCCCCAGGCCTTTTAAAGGTTGAACTTCACTGTAAAAAAAAATAATATAATAAATAAAATCTATAAGACAGAATAAAAGTCGTAATAAAATAATAATGGTGGATTTGCTTCACGTAATTTTAAAACTTTTGTTCGACAGCAAATGAAAGATGGCGTTTAGAATCAGAGGGGAAATAATATCGGAATAAATGGCGACTACTCTTCCTTCCTGTGTAGATAATATCTCCAAAATTCTTCTCTGATTATCTACTGACGAGAGAACTGGTTTCTTCTCTATTTATCAACAGCTGAGATCGGTCACGCAAGTCGCTCCCGTTTTGTTTTTGAAAAAAAAAAGTCGTTTGCCAAAGTTAATAAGTTGTTTTCTTTACACTGAAACAAAACACGATCTGTAAAAGCTGGAGCCTCGTTCTGGCGTCGACAGAAGGCACTCTGTCTCACTTGGACAAGAATTTCTGTGGCCGGAAAATGCGATGATCACCAGATGGCTAGAAAATAATTTTAAAAGAATGCGAAGTTTTTCTTTCTTTCTTTCTTTCTTTCTTTCTTTCTTTCTTTCTTACATCTTTTCTTTGCTTGCTTTTAAGACGTCTACTTTTCTTTTTGTGTGTGCATGTTTGAATTTGTCATATAAAAGTAATTAATCGTTTAAAGGAGAAATGTTATTCTTAAAAGGAAGATTGTGAAAAGAAGAAGAAAAAGGGAGGTGAAGATGAAATGTATGAAAAGAGAAGAAACTAAAAATGGTGAAGAAAATAAAGAAGAAGAAGAAGAAGAAGTAGAAGAAGAAGAAGAAAGTTCATTAGGTCTTTCACTCGGTATTTCTATATATCCTACAATATGTCCTGTGAGTGTTAAATTATCTAAGCCCTCTTTCTTCATTATATAAATACTGGAAAAGGATAAAAACAAGAATATCTAATGAATGAATTAAAGAAAGAAAGAAAGAAAGAAAGAAAGACAGAAAGAAAGAAATAAGTTTGAAATAGAAAGAAGCAAACAAAAATAGGCTGTAATACTTGATAACTACGATCATAAAAGAAAGAAAAAAGAAAGAAACAACGCACAAAAGAAAAAAACGAAAGAAAGAATGAATGAATCAAACAAAGAAAAAGTGTGAAATAGAAAAAGCAAATAGCCCGTAATACTATCTTGATAAACTTTACAATGAAACAAACAAATAAACAAAGAAAGAAAGAATGAAAGAAAGAAAGAAAGAAAAAGTTTGAAATAGAAAAAAAGAAACAAAACAAATAGTCTGTAATACTATAATGATAAACACTATGCTGGAAGAAAGAAATAATGAATTTAATGAATGAATGAAAGAAACAAACAACCAAAGAAAGAAAGAAAGAAAGAAAGAAAGAAAGAAAGAAAGAAAGAAAGAAAGAAAGGAAAAAGAAGTTTGAAATAGAAAAATAAACCAAGCAAACAATCTGTAATACTATCTTGATACACCCTATGATGAAAGAAAGACAAAATGAATAAATGAAAGAAAGAAAGAAAGAAAGAAAGAATAAAAGAAGGAAACAAAGAAAGTAAGGAAGAAAGAAGTTTGAAATAGAAAAAAAAAACCAAAACAAAACAGTCTGTAATACTATCTTGATAAACCCTATGATGAAGAAAGAATAAATGAATGAATAAATGAAAGAAAAATATTTGAAATAGAAAAAAAGAAAGAAACAAAGAAACTATGTAATAAAGAAAACAAGAAAGAAAGAAGTTTGAAACAGAAAAAAAAAACAAATAGTCTGTAATATTATCTCGATAAATCCTATGATCCGTGAAATTAGCATATAATCTTTTATGTCCCGCGTCTTTTAAGGACATGGACAATCATTCAACTGCCAGTCTTTTTACTGATATGAGTAATTTTTACTCGTTACCATCCCTGTTAACTTGTTGAGATCAAATCCAATTAGGAGTCCCTGCCCTCGATATCTATTTTTAGATAAAAAAAAAATGAATTAGTTTGACAGATTTCGGTGGTGGAAATAACGCTTGAAATCGGACAAGTTCTAACAACTTTAATCAATTCAAAGCTTTACCTATAAAACATGAAATTCCATAGTAAACATAACTAAGTAAACTGATGCATGGAACCTTTGACTGGTGTGTAACACCAACACATACCGTCACTTAAGCTATACAATGGACAAGTTCATGCCTTCACTGTGTTCTGTAGCAAGTGCTGAATAAGTGGGAGTAGTTGTTGAGTACGATGAAAAAGAAAATCTACGAAAGGGCGTATAAACTCAAAAGGGTCAAGAACCAATCAACTAGAGGAGGTGTCTCAATAAAGTCACCGTGGAGATAGCAACGGGAAACTACTACATTAGAAGGTATTGCCAACAATATTGGCAATACTAGTCAAAATTAGCTATTAAAGATATAAAAAGAGTCAGCCCTAAGCCTTAAAACTAAGTATTCGTCCAGTAAGTAATGAGTAATATATACATATATATTATAGCTGGTCACTCGTATTCGAAGATACCTGTCTACTAGAGCAGCTAGCCACTCCCTGTTCCAGACGCTTCAGGGGCATTTGTGTTTATTCAACACCCACAAAACCCGCCTGTGGTTTATAGTGCAACTATGCTAGGCAGAACTTGGTAACAGTTTCTGGGAAAGAGCGTGTTATTTAGCGTGATCAAGGCTAGCACGCTGAAGCCCTTAGCCACGATAACTTGTGACTTCGTGGTAAGACAGCACCCAATTTCACTCAAAAGTTTTAGGTCAACCAGTGGTATGGTTTTCAGGCATCTTTCAAAGGTGCCGCAAGCTGAGATCGACTCTTCCAGTCCGAAAACATCAGGAAGTCTTCTTCCTGACAAATCGACCTGAGTCTCATTGTCAGAATACGAACGTTCTAACCACCACTCGGCCACGTGTATGTATGCAAGAAAGAAAGTGAATATATATATATATATATATATATATATATATATATATATATATAAATATAAAGAAAGTAAATGTATATATGTATATATATATAAAGAAAGAAGTTAAGTGAATATATATATATATATATATATATATATATATATATATATATAAAAGAAAGAAAGTGAATATATATATATATATATATATAAAAGAATGAAAGAACTTATATATATATATATATATATATATATATACACACACGAAGTTCTCGGCTGGAGCATACATCAGAATATTTTCGGAATCCATTTAAACCGAGAAATGTTCAGCATCCCTCGTGTGTGCATATATATATATATATATATATATATATATATATATATTCACTTACGTGCTAATACCCTTGTGAAAAGTAGTAATGCTCTTCTTCCCCCCCAGTTATGAGTAAATATCAGGAAAAACTTGGATAGCAACTGGTCTAGGAGAAGGATAACTCTGAATTGAAAATCTGAGGAGGGTCGGTTGGGGGCCTTTGTGTCACGTAGTGTACCAGGTCTCTGTATCCGGCACTCCAAAAAGTGTGGTTGGTTCCGCACAAAGCCTTCACCACTATAATCAAATCATATGTACTGTAGTCTGGCTGTCGGTTCCTTGGAACTGAGCTGCTTGACCCTCATACGTCGAATAGATAGATAGATAGATAGATAGATAGATAGATAGATACTGCAACAGATAGACAGAAAATACACCATGATAGATAGATAGATAGATAGATAGATAGATAGATAGATATGAATAGAGTGAGATAGAAAGACAGATATGAACAGAATGAGATAGATAGATAGATAGATAGATAGATAGATAGATAGACATGAATAAAGACAAAAGGAAAAGTTATCTTGGCCGACGCGAAAAGTTAAAAAATTTAGTTTTTCAAAGTTTTTAAATTTAAGAATCGCTCATAAATATTCATCTAGTTAACTGAAAATCTAATAAATATTCATGAGGCTAACTGAATATTGATGAGAGTTTATTGAATTTAAGAAATTTGAAAAACTAACAAGACTTTTACTTTTGTTCGCAAATACTTCTTTCAGAATAAAGTCCATACATTTGTCATGATAGAATCCATCATAAAATGAAGTGTTGGCTAAGGAAAAGATTTCCTTTGGTCTTTATTCATAATGTGCACTTCTAGTTATACGTGAAATTTTTCACACACACACACATATATATATATATATATATATATATATATATATATATATATATATCCATTCCAGTCGAATCCATTACATTGACTTACGTGATAATACCCCTGGGAAAGGTATTAATACTCTTCTTTTCCCTTCAGCTATGGGTAAATAGCATGAAAGACTGGGTTCTACAGCCTTGGATGGCATCCAATCTAGGAGAAGGACAACTCTGAATTCGAAACGTACGGAAGTTTGTTTGGGGAACTTGTGGCACGTAGTGCACCAGATCTCTGTATTCAGCTCTTCAAAAAGTGTGGTTGGTTCTGCACAAAGCCTTCGCCACTATAATTAAATATGCTGTCGGCATCTAGGAACGGAGTTGCTGACCTTCATACGGCGAATACGACGGGAGAGTCCACTATATATATATATATATATATATATATATATATATATATATATATATATATATATATATATATATATATATATATATATATATATATATAAATGTGTATTTGGGCATCAAGTTTCGTTAAAGACGACTGGCAAGGTACAGTGATCAAGCTTTTTATTTCAGTTTTCTTGTATTCGTACAAGTGTGCACAAAATGCAGACCATTTGAACAGTTTTACACACTTTGTGCCCAGGAAAGAAAAAAAACCTTACGGACACAAGAAATATTAATTAAAAAGCTTAATCGTCGTACCTTGTCAGTCGTTTTTAACGAAATTTGTGTGTGTATATATATATATATATATATATATATATATATATAATGTGTGTGTGCTCGTGCGCGCCCATTATGGCATATAACCAAAACCATCGCTATCCACCCCATGGGAAGACTGGGTACTTCAACGTGGTGTAATGGTTAGCTAGCGTGTCTCGTTTGAACTATTTACGACTGATTAGTGAGTCAGATCCTCACTGGACGCTCCATAATTTTTACCTTAGAAATACTTTCGCTTACAAAATCATCATCCAAAGGAATGGTTATTTTGCTTTTTAAGGGATAGTGCGTGCAAAGCGTTACTATTTTAGGTGATTAAAGTGTTCCGCATGACCGGAAAGATCTTCTGGATATCCCCAATACACCAAAAACAAGGTGTTCGGGGCGGCTAATTTGGGATCATTTGCATATATATATATATATATATATATATATATATATGTAAATATTTCGTTTTTATGTTGAACTAAAGATACAATTATATAAATTTTTAGAGAATACGTATATATATGTTGGGCGTGGGAAGCAAATGCAATACACGGAGGTTATTATACCGCATAATCCCTGTCTTCAGCCTTTCTTAGAAAGGCTGAAGACAGGGATTATTAACTTTAAATTTAATATTTTTTAATGTCGGTGTTCGAGGTCGGCATCTAGATATATTATTCTGAAAAAAGTCCTTTCGAATGACGAAACGCATGACATCATTTTTTTTCCAGTTCTCATTCAATTACTCACTATATATATATATATATATATTCCAACGCAAAAACGAATCAAGATGAGGCGACGCCAAATTAGGCTGACCAGAAATATATTTTCTTTCTTCTTTCTCGAATTTTCCGGTCTTACAAGAAATTTATTTACCCCTACGATCAGGTAAGACAAGAGATGTTCGCCTAATGACGTGACCTGGCCGATCGACACATCAAGATTAAAAGTAAAATTGAAACTTGAAAAGCAGGTGCAAAAAACTAAATTATGTCAACGTCCAATTACATTTCCGGTGAACAGGTGCGCTTAAAATCGAGTCCTGCGTTTCATGACTAAAACAGTGCGTGTTAATTTGTGATTCTTCTCAGTTTTACAGTACCCCAAATCCTCACCACCAAGAAGCTGTTTACATGACTTATAGATGGTTACCGGACTAACAGTCGGTGCCTAAAGGAAAGGGGGCGTTTATTTATTTAGGGAAATGTTCACCCCCCCCCCGGACCGAAAATAATAAACCCCATCATTTATCAATTTCAAGCTTTTCCACCCAAGAACTACAACTCGAAACAGTAATTATTATAGTTGGTTCGATTTTTTACTTACACACTTTCGCATGTAAAAATATTATTTTCAAGGATTTCTTGCACTATTTGATAAAATGATTGGGGTGAGTATTGAGCATTGATCTTGACCAACGCAGGTTCATTGCACACGCAGGCAGCAGTCATGGCTCGAGAAGCGGCTAGGAAATATGTGGGTGTCGAAACAGCTCGTTCGGAGTTGTCTGCTTTAGGACTTTAAGGTGGAATTGTCCGTAGCTACATCAGGTCGCAGACCACGTCAAGCCTTTGGGAATAATGTTATGAGTGAACGAGACGCCAGGCACTGGTTCCTGAAGTTCAAGTCGGGAGATCTGTCCCTTTGTAATGAACGCCACATTGGCCTGTTTCTCGCTGCCTTTTCGGCAAAGCAACGTACCCATATTTGATCGAGTGTTCACCAGTAACGAAAAATGGGTCCTGTATAACACTCCCAGGCGTGTCCGAGACATCAGGAGACTACCTCTATATCCAGTTGACTAGTCGACATATAGTGCCTTATGAGCTACCACCAACGGGCCAAACATAACTACTCGTAGTTTAGGTTGTCAATGTAAACAGAGAGAAAAGAGGCAGAATCTAATTTGGTTTGGTTTTGATTCGTTTTACGGCATATCAATGGGTTATTTAATGCAGACAAGATTTTTATTGCTGGTAATGTTTTCTTTTCAAAAGTGTATTACTGATAATAGTTATTTTCTTCAAAATTCATTGCTGGTAATAATTTTTTTACAAAAATGTATCTATAGTATTAAAACCTATTTTTATACTTTCATAGTGCTTTGACACTAGTTTGGGGGTTAACTATTTGCACATAGCTGCGACCCTAACAGATGCTACCACCCCGGCTCAGGGTGGACCACGGAACATCAGCAATTAAGAGGTGGTTCTACGCTCCTCGAAACCTCCTGATCAGAGGCCTTGCTGTTGGATGTAGTTTAGCGTCTTACCCAGGAGGTGGATGTAGTTTAGCGTCTTACCCAGGAGGTGGATGTAGTTTAGCGTCTTACCCTGGAGGTGGATGTAGTTTAGCGTCTTACCCAGGATGTGGATGTAGTTTAGCGTCTTACCCAGGACGTGCATGTAGTTTAGCGTCTTACCCAGGACGTGCATGTAGTTTAGCGTCTTACCCAGGACGGAGGCAGAATCTAAAGATATTATTTATGATATGACGCATGTTGAAAGATTATGTTCCGTTGAATTGTTTAAAAATAGTGTTCCAATTCTGTTTTTTTTTTATTATTATTCTTTCCAGAATTATTTCGTTCCATCGTTTGATAACTTTAATGCTTTTCTTTATATGTTTTTTGAAAGAATATTTTTGAAACGTAATAATGGTGGAACGGAAAGCAAATACGATGAAGAGAACATTTCAAGCGTTTTAGACAATCAGTTTGAATAAATAGTATAAACAAGTTGTTTTAAACTTGACTCTTGGATTTTTTTTTTTTTTTTTTTTTTGCACTTTCTGGTAAAATGCATGAATCTAATTCCGATTTTGTTGTGAATTATGCCCGTTAATATTTATGCGATTCTCAAAAATTGTGCCAGGATTTTTTTTTCTTTATTTTTTGTCAAAAGCAAGGTGACAATGCCAATAAGACGCCAGGGGTTAATGAGAGTGAAAGAGAATTTAGTGAGAAGAAATGGCAGGATTCAGGAAAACAGGAAATGGTGATTGAAGTTGCTTTTAAATTTATCCGTCTTTCTTTTTCAGATCTGTCTAATTGCAATGAAGAGGATATTCGAAACGTTTCGGACAATCATTTTTTATAAATTGTATAAGCAAGTTGTTTTAGGTTTGACAATAACCTTGACACTTTTCACTTCCTGCTAAAATTATGAGGAATTGTAAAAGAGAGAGAACAATAAAAGAACAGGATTCAGGAAAAAAAGGAGATGACGATTGACGTTGCATTTAAATTTTTCGTTCTTTCTTCAGATCTATTTGTTCGAATCGATCATTGTTTCTTTCTTACATCAGATCTATCTACCACACAGTCAATCAATTATATATATATATATATATATATATATATATATATATATATATATATATATATATATATATATGAAGAAATATAGTTTTCAGGGTACTATATTTATGGGATAAATTGCTCAATATCAGAAATAGGGAGTATGTAAAATATAAAAGTGTATATTGAAGTCAACACTCAGAGGCGAAAATTTGTTTCAGGCTAAACGCAATCGTCAGGCCATATATATATATATATATATATATATAGACGTCATCCACAGACAGACTGTTTCGCTGTTTCACAGCTCATCAGTGCGGATAGACATCCGGTTGCCTCTAGCTAGGATCGAAACCCGACTGACAGTCGGAGATTCTAACCATTAAGCCGTCGGCGTACGATAGGGATGAAGGTAGATTTTTAGCGTATTTATTTTTAGAAACACGCCCAGTGACCGACAGTAACTCGATTCGCTTTTGCGAAGAGTCTCTCTCTCTCTCTCTCTCTCTCTCTCTCTATATATATATATATATATATATATATATATATATATATATATATATATATATATATATATATATATATGTAACTATATTCGTTTGGAAAAACCTTCGAATTTTTGATTTGCCAATAATCAAATCAATCTCGAAGGAAA